TCACTTACTCACAAATATTTGAGAGGGAGCTTCCGATAAAAATTCGGCTCGAGAGAAGAGTTCACTGTGTTTCGACCAGAGAAAAAATCTCAAAAGTTTTCTAAGGTAGGAGTCTTCACCTCTCTGAATTTAAATTCTACTAACATATTATTTTATTCTTTTATTACGTTACAGGTATGAGCGTTAGTTTACGCTTTAAACACCTCAAGCTTTTATTACGTTACAGGTGTGAGCGTTAGTTTACGCTTTAAACACCTAAAGCCCACGTCCTTTAGTGGACGTGGCAAGAGCAAGGAAACACAAAGCTTTTAAACGAAAAGCTTTGAAAAGTAGCGATGGTCCCTAAACACCATCATGTTCAAACGAATCATCATGTATTAAAAGTTTATTTTCTTTTTTCTGTTTTTCTTTTTTTCTTTTTTTTTCTTTTTTTGAAAGTTTAGGATTGTTACAGGGGTGAACCACATAAAGTGTGTATTGTTGTGGTGTACTTTTTATGTTTGTTTTATTTTCACACTCGATTTTTAGTTGTATTCGTCTATTTCGCATTTAGTCAATCATATACACGATTTTGAGTGGGATCCCAGTATTTGAGATTCTCGGCTCCACAAGCTAAGGGTTACCAAAAACCCTACAATTGGTATCAGAGTACAATGTATGTGCAGGGCTAAGGGTTGCAGTAAGAAAAAGATGAATGATGAAAGTTTGATGGATACATGGTTTAAGGTGGAGAAATATGGAGACAAAGTATTAGGGAACATTCCACAAGGCAAGTGAAAAAAAATTTATTCAATGAAGGTTGCCAAGGCATTTATGGTAATTTTGCTATCAAGGTTGAGATTGTTGGGTTTGGTGACAGCCAAATCACCATACCTATGTTTTTATTAAAAGATTAAAGGTATTATGAGAAAAAGAGAAGGGTTTCTTGGGGAGCAAAAAAGAAGCTCAAATGATCTCCATAAGAGGGATCAAAGATAGCATAATACTCATCCTTTTGAAGGTCATTCCTTAGGGATTATGGAAATGGATCTCCAAAGATGCAAATTGGTCTCCAAAAGAGAGAGACATAGCCTCCAAGAGATAGGCGATACTCCCATAGGTTTTGGGTTGATAAGGCTTCTACTTCTAGAGAGAAAATCTCTCGGTTACTCTCGAGGTTATCTTTCTGGTAATGATATTGCATTGAGAAATAAGATATTGATCGACGGTGTTGCTCGGTCGGGAAAGCGAGTTTAGAAGAGAAGATCGGTGATGGTTTTTTTACCGATGTTTAGAGAGTATTATATCTCTTGTGACCCAAAGCTATAACCTTCATTGTGATAATTGATTTCTACTTGCCGAGGCCGTGGATGTAGCCCTAAGGGGTGAACCACATAAATTGTGTGTTGTTATGGTGTGTTTTTTATATTTGGTTTATTTCTTGATTTTTAGTTGTATTCGTCTATTTCGTATTTAATCAATCATATACACGATCTTGAGTGGGATCCTGATAGGGATTCCAGATTCCACAAGCTAGGGGTTCTCATGAACCCCTACAACACTAACAAAAACCATAGACATTTGTGTTCATGTTTCCCGAATAAATGTTATACTGGTAGCCATCCAAATATAACTAAATAAAAAAAATTACCATGCACCCCCAAATAGATGAAACATTCTTCAATGCACTTCTCAGGTGGGAAATTGGTGGAAGCACAATTTTCAATTTTGTCACTCTTTAGTAAGACAACTTACTTGTGGGATATTGTTCTTTCGAACACCAATATCTCATTTTAAACATCATGTGAACTATTGGTATTTCTAAACATCGATATTGTTGTTTCGAACACCAATACCTCATTTTAAACATCATGTGAACTATTGGTATTTCTAAACATCGATATCTCACTAGTCTGATTGTGAGAAGTGTCTTTTCCAATGCTACTACCTCACAAGTATGATGTACAATGTTGGCAGTATTTAATACCATAGGGCATGTCCTTTAAGAGCTTTCCTAAACAAGGGTCGGGCATGACCTGTTGTGTCCCTGGACCCAGCCTGCCCTACAAACCATGGTGACCCAGGGCATATTTTGTGGCCCCAGACCTAGTTTTCCTAGGGCCCGGCTGACCGGGGTGGGGATGGACCACCCGACCCGCCCCACCTTCTATCATCTACTCTTGTCCCGATGATTTTATTTTTGGATGTCGCAAATACGTGCCCAATGTGCGTTTGCTTTTGCATGTAAAACACCGAGCTACTGAGACCTTTACAACAAGAATCTCCTAAACTGTTCGATAATTG